ATATTGAAACGCGTGAGCATCCTACATGCACTGACCACCGAGTAGTCGCACTTGCTCAATTGTTTCAGAAGCTGGAAGCCCTCGCTCAATGGTCTAATGTTGCATTTTGACTCCGCAATGCTTGGTCCAAGGTTTAACTGACTCAAACCACGTCTGTGTCAAATAAGATAGGTTCACACCGAGAAAGTCTGAACTGCTCTCAAGCCATTGGATCGACGAGTTCGCAAAGATATCAGGCATAGCGAATATCTCTCAAAAGCACTTGCTCGAAGCAGAAGCATTGATAACGTTTATGAAAAACTGAGCTTTTTTCGCTATAAAACTAACTTGTTTTCAGTGACGTCAGCTGTTTTTCTTGCTTGCGTTGATTCAGCGGGAACGTTATGCTGGAAAACAATTTTTAGAAGAATTTCGGAAACACTTCATTTTCATCATTTTAACCATAAGCACCCAATAGCTCCCGCGTAAAATTGAATCACGAAGAGTTATTTATGTTCGCATCAATTTTTTTCATCGAGTAACTACTAGTGAAGGCTCAACAAATTAAGCAGTGTACCTGAATGATAAATAGAACAGAATAAATTTAGAAACCATACCATGCTATTCGGTTTCGAACAAACCTTCTTCCGGAATCGTCCATGTTCATCAAATGAACCCGTTGCACTGGTTGCTTCATCACCAGATTCCCTGAAACAAGGAACAACACTGTAAAAAGCTATTTGCAATATGAGATTTCAATTTCTGACGTGAAGGCAGTGAAGAAAAATCAACATGACGAACTCTTTATCTTGATCTTCTCCATCTTCCATCCATTCAGGCATAGGACCACTTTCGCTCTTTCTACGTGAATCCTCCGTATCGTTGGCCGATGAGCTATGCCCTCCTAGAAAGACGGCGCTCGTAAAAAAAGCTTTGGCTATGCCAATCAATCATGGAAATGTAAACGAAACTGCATTTGGGAACCAAATACTATTGACATGAAGCATAAAAGTAACTTGAAAAAACAGTGAAAGAGTAGGGCACGGTAAGGGGCAATGTACTTGTTGCGTCAGGAGAAAACTCAACGCGGCACAACATAAACAAATTTCTGGCTCTTCCACGATTTTAGGCCTCCTGGGTCAGCACTGATAGTTCTACTGATAAACTAATTTCTCCGACGCAGAAGCAGTTCGCCATTGTTCGTTGTAAAGTCAGAGCAACTTAGGAAATAGAAAGGCTATCTCTAACGGGACCGATCTCGTGACGAAATGAGATCAAAAGAGGTGAGCGGAGAGCATTGAACAGTGCCATCAATAACACGTCATTTGATGCACTTAAAGTTTAACACGTCCAAACTGTTAGCCGATATTGCCTGTTTACTCGGATACACCACTCACCTTGCTCACGATTCCACGCATTTTGCTGCCCACCATCCCTGTTTTGAGTCCAGCCATGTTTGCCAACACCAGCAGGTTGTCCACCCGCCTTCTCCAGCTACATCGCCTTCGTCACTTGTAGAGCGCAAGCGATTGCGAGGACGATCTGAACGTAATATTTAATGCCAACCTATACGTCACTGACAGGAGTAAGAACAGAGGTTCATTAGTTGGGTCGTTACGCAATCATTGTGAATGGGATCATAAGCATCATTAGAAACATGAACAGTAAATTGTAGCATTCCAGAATTTTTCCTCAAGAAAAAGTTTAACCACGCCTAATCATAGGGGTACCATCAAAAAAGCCCCAGCTAACCAAAACACTCCAAGCCGTATTTGTAATTTAGCTGGACCAGTCCTCCGATGTCACAACCAAGTCGAGGTAGATGCGTATGAGCACATGTATAGTCGGTCGCCCTATCGCAACGACCGTAATGGTCGCACAGGTTAGATTCGTATCGATCGACGAATACTCAGGCAGGCCTCACGATCGATACGCACCCAACGCTGTGTTACCGTTACGATCGTTAGGATCGGCAACCGACTAACGATCGTGCAATCGCACACTCCTCGTGCGACCGCACGGTCAATACGCATCTACTTCACACTCGCTAGTGCGATCGGAGCAGTTCCATGAAACTATGAGTGCGGCCAAAAGTTCCCACCTAAATAATTGGATAATAGTGAATAAATAACTAAAGTACTTGAAGAAGTGCAAACCTTTCGGGTCACGAGGGTCATACAAACCCTGTGCTCGAGAATTGAAAGCCGTTCCAGAAACGCCACCTCCCCGAGCTGGTGCTTGCGAACCACCACGGCCTCGATTTGCTATAATGCAAACACTTACAAACAATTTCAACAATACACTTATATGATTGAGGATATGCGACCGGAGCATTCACCACGACAGGTCAAATAAAAGTAGAAGTCCTCATCAACTGAACTGCTGGGAGGAGCTAATGCAAAACAGTGACAATTCTTTTTCAAATCTATTTTACGCACGCCATTAGCTGATTGCCCTTTCGCTGCGTATGCTGTGATCATTTTAGCTACGGTACTTCTGATCGTGACTATTTCAGAGAGCTTTTTTCGAAAAAAAAAAACAATGGAACCAATTCACAAGTAGCCTAAACGGGATATTTCACATTCGTTATTTACGACAGAGGCTACGCGCGCTCAAAATCCAGATGTTGCCAGATACATTGCCAATAAGAATGAAAACTGTAATGGAAGGGAGAATAATGCTCAGTCATTAGTTTGCCACCATGTTCCCCTCCCCCCCCAAAAATTTGCGATTTCAACAGCATTTCTGTTCCCTTGAGCTGAAGACATAACTCATGAAGCAACATACCAAATCTCTGCCCGAAAGGTGTTAATTGCGGTTGATCTTGACTACTGCTGGTGTTTTCTCCCCGCGCACCATTTCGACATGGTGGTACATATGGTCGCGATGGACCTCCTCCTTTCACGGGTGCCCCAGCGTTCGGATGGTTGCGACCTTAAATATCGAAAAATATGATAATACTATAACAACACTAAGCCACTTAAGAAGACCTTTTAAAAGGAGACAACTATTGGCTCAACGTACCCCACTGCTTGACTGGAGTCCAGCCTCCAGCAGCTCCTTTATGACCACCAGCACTTTCATTCCCACCACCGCTATATGCCGCACCGGTGGCCACACTAGCACGTTCTGCGTGAGAAAGTGATGACATCGCTTTAGAAGAGTTGATGTTCTGTTGAAGACGCTAAAATTTGCAGGAATAACGAACAAACAATATCCTTTCATACTACAAAAAGACCAAAATGGGCCTACAAGCGCTGATAAAAAGATCGGCCTTATTAACTGTGTGATAAAACATCGTAAGCGTCCTAGAATCCAGAACAGAGTGTACACGATGGAGAGAATGGGGAGCTAGGACAGAGTGGAAGAAAAGCAACCTAATTCAGATTGCGGGAAATGAAATGTTTTGTGAACAAGTGCTTCATCCCCTATCGATATCCCTATTCCTCAACACTTTCCTTATTTTTCCCTATACGGAACTTCCACGACGTAGAAACTTTCATCCCTTAAAACATGGACCGATAGTAAAGTGGCAATATTTCATTTTTTAATAAATTTTTCACTTATCTGCTTTATTGCAAACAAATAACCTCACTAGCACGTTCACTGCCATGAGTAGGAGAGATAAGAAATTTTGCTCACCTGTTCCAAATCCGATAGCGGATAGCAGACTATCGGAGGAAGGGCTTCTTCGACATAGAAAGGGCAATTTTGAAGGCCTTCAGGAGGTGGATGACCAGCAGCATCTCCCATCAAGGCTAACATGTCCTCACGACCATAGCGATTCTTCACAAAGATCGGAGCGGCAACAGGATAGTCCTGCTGTAACAGATTTCATGAATCTTTCCAAAATTTCGAAGTTTTAGAGCTTTAGTGACCGTTAAGAGCTTAGCGGTAATCAACATCAAACCACTGATATTACCCTCGGGAGTCATAAACCAACAAGTTCATTTGAACACCATCCTATGATTGCTTAATGTAGACTACTTATGTGCCACCTTTCGCCTCCTTGCAGATGATATTCTTTACTTTGTACAATCAAAAAATCAAAAAATGGACCGCGATTAATTTTATCCAACCAATTAGGGTCATTCAGCATTATCCAATTCAGTTTCCTGGCACCAACTTAGCTATTACGATTGAATAACTTGTTTAACACATTGCGGACCGCCGTTGTATGAGCACCTTCGTATCTTTTTTATATTTTTCAAAAATGTATCATCATTAATCTATCAACAATTTTATCAGTGATGACACGTATGGTTTCCCGGCTCTGAAAATGAGTGCAAACAGTTCAGGAGCATTGAAAAATGTCAAATAAATCAGATTAAACTATGCTGTTTCGTGCGAAATCGTGCGCCACGGGCGCACGCGGTACGGAATGTGTTAACAACGCAATGGCTGGTCAAAACACCTTAACCTGTTCACTCAAACAAAAGGACAGCGATGGAAGGTAGGGTGTAAGACGGTGTTAAAGATCGTTACACTTCTAAAGTACATTGCTGTAAGAACTTTACAACAACAGAAGAAAAACGAGTGCTTAGTGTTTCGTACTCACCGTTTTAGGAGAGCGAACCGGAGCGGCAGCACTTCCTCCACCATTGAAAGTGGAACGCATCCTGTACGAGCAATTATTCAGGTCATTAATGACTATGGAGTTCTAGGAAAAGCAATGCTGACCAAGATGGATTGAAGCTGTTTTGCTGAGCAGAATCAGCAGGAGGAGCAGCAGCAGCAGGAGCAGCAGCAGCAGCAGCGACAGGGGCAAGGGGACAAGGTAGAGCGTCATGACGACAGAGAGCTGGAAAGGTACCTTGGGTTAGAGTTCTTTGAGGAAAAATGCGCTTAGGGTGGAGGGAAAGTTCGAGCCAATTACACAGATAGTATAACATTTCGCTTATGAATTTACTCAATCCAACAACAATTTTGGCATTTGCCCGAGACGATGCGATAAGTGCAGAGAATAATGAAGTAAAATTTGCCGCAGCTTTGTTCGGAAAGTTAAAGGAACAGGCAAAATTCGATTTGGGGGGTTTTTTAATTGATTTCCAGCAGCATCTCCGAAAACATTGCTATCCAGATCACTGGCAGGGGATGTGGAAAAAAATCCGTTTCCCAGCAAATCAATACACCTGAACAACCAAAAGTTTCCATAAGTCGCTCCATTGAATGTGGCGCAATCATTTAAAAGCTGTGTGAATTCCGATGTTGGGGAACCTACTCTCAAACTGCAACGTTGGAATTCTTTCCTTCCAAATAAGGCATTGAGAAAAACACAGCTTTATCGAGTGGCCAAAAAAAGTGTGACTCAAAAACATTCTATCTCAAGCAATTAAGTATGGAATTCCGTTATGAGTGGACTGATGAATAGAATAAATCGGAACGCTGTTCGTCTCTTCATGACCAGTTTATTCAGCTATTCAAATAAACCAGTTGCGACGCAACAGTAGAATACGCAAAAATTGGCTCGAATCCTGTAAAATATTAGGAACCTTCTAGGTATACGACCACACTAAAAGCACAGGAATGATCCCCGCTGGCAATATCCTGATTCGCTCTCGACCCAAAGTCTGCGGCAAGGACATCCAAACTGTCCAAGAAGTGCAGAAAAATGAATCGATTTTGTACATCCTAAAAGCTAGCCGAGGTTAACGGGTTCATCGCGGCCTATCGATCCGACCGCTGCGGATCGATTGAAGGCCGTACCCAAAAGTGGACGAACTGGGTAGGAAGCAAACCATGCTAACTAAGGAGATGACCCGGAAACGAGCAGAAGAAAGAACCCTGCAACGGAAGTGAGTAGTTGGATCGCGGCTGCCACCCAAATAATGAACCGCGACGCAACAAGCTTCGCCATGGGGCGTGAAATGACGCCAGGGCGCACAATTTACCGGGAGACGTTCAGCTCTCGTCCTGAGGTCAGCAGGTCACCAGAGCAGCACGATCATTGAAGCTAAGGTTAAGCTTGGGTTTAGGCTTAGGCTTAGGCTTATGCTTACACATTGGCTTATGCTTAAGCCTATGATTGGGCCTAGGCTTAGTCCTAAGCTTGCTTTGAGCAAATGAGTGGTATTTCAATTTTAGGTGACCTGACCTTAGGAGGGGATTTGCAACGCAACCCTTGAGATGGACCTCATCCACACGAAACAACTCTGCTCTGCGTATACGGCCCATGAAGAAATGGGTGGGGGTTTATTTGGCAGCCCATGTGTTGGCTTTGGAGCAGCTTATTTACTTGGGAAACACGTCGAAAGTAGGTCACGTTTTCAAATGACCACAACTTTCTTCAGAGTGGAAGAATTATCAATCTGATGGAAGATTTGGAAGTTTCTCGATGATTCTTTCTAAAAGAGCCCTCGATTGGTGAAAAAAATGAGAAACACCGCTTCCAGAATTCTGGGTTTTGAAACGAGTTTTTTTGCAGTTTAAATAGTCTATATTTCAAAGCACATATTTCAAGTTCTAACCGGCTCATAAATGAGAAGACTTACTCTATTTTTACGGTTACTGAAATGATTATCCTCCGATAATGGCCGGGAGGTTTGCAAAAATAGGACGACTTTTGAGAGGCGCGAATTTTACACTTTTCAAAACCCATACTTCCTTCGAATGCATCAATTCGGGAAAGTTGTAAGGTGTTGCAATCGAGAAGATTCGCTCTAAATGGTTATCAACAATTCCTGAGACGCAGCATGTCAAAAATGGCCCCGTTGAAGATTTTGCTCCGGTATCGGGACAGGTCCTCTCGTTGAGTTGCCACTTTTCTTTGCGATTATTTGCTTTTTTCCTGCCGCAATTTCTTATGATCTAAGGAAGTTTATCTTTTGCTTCCTAATATGTGTGGTAGTGTACTGCAGAACTTCAGCTTACTCAAATTTTTTATGAAGTTAATGTTGAGAATTGCACTTCCTCTTGTGTAGTAGGTTCCATCTGTAATTTTGACCCCTTTCCGGGAAGCTGTTGACGTATTTTACGTGCGCTCTTTCAGAGACGGAATTAACGGTCGTGGCATGGCTCACGAGAGCCGTGCTTTCGGCCCGCGCGAGTAGCGGTTTTACCACCCCGTAACGAGGCTACCGTTTCTCTGAGCATGCTGGTGCGCGTTTAACGACACAACCCCCTAATGGTCTGATACGACTCCCTCGCTGCGATTTCAGCAACACCGGCGCCTTCAAAGCTGTTTAATGGGGAGAATCAGCGTTGCGATAGCGTAGCGCTCCCTTCTTTTCCCGATGGAGGTTCGACAAAAAAACGGGGGTAGGAGGCCGGGTTTCGATAAACGGCGCCAGTTGAGAACAAGTGGTGGCATTGGGCAGCGCATGAAGAAAAATCTTATGAAAGCAGCCCGAATCTGAGAAAATGAGACGTCTTTTCCGATTGCTCGATCGGGCGCTGCCCACTTCGGTTTCTGCTAAGTCAGACGCGTGTGGTTACTATCCTGCGAAGGTGCAGCACTCGGTGGGTACAGCCTACCAGATCGTTGAGCGGAGCATGGCGGGGCGTCGCTGTGGACGCCATGGCCGCGCTCCTTAGAGGGCACAACGTATGCGAGTATATTATATATGTAATATGTATTATCTTCTCATAATATATATATATCCTTCTCAGACTCGTGAAGCATAGCGGCGTCTTTTAACCTATTAGTATATTTAATGGAAATGACGTCGTAGAAAAATGGAATTAACCTTCGAACCCTCGAAGAGGTTCTGTCCGCTCTCGGCTGTTGAGGGCCTGAAGGATTGTACGGCGAGGGAAATGCTGAGCGTGCGGGAGAGGAGAAATCGGCAGAGAGACGAGCGGAACGCAGTTATGGACGAAGAGCGAATGGGCCTGTGCGTCATGGTGGGTGGACCCACGTGAGTAATGCACGTCTGAATCAACGATCAGCGCGAAGCACTTGGTGAAGCTTGGCCCACATGTTCTGGCAAACATGGTGCCGCAAATATTAGAAAACCCAGGCTGTGCGATCCTCTGCTGTACTCGCGCTAAGGCTTCACTCCGTTATCCTAATCTTGAGTAGTGCCTCAAGTTGCCATACCGTGCAAGGGTAAACCTTGCTGATGCCTTGAGCAGGTATTTTTCGACCTTTTCACACGAAGTCCATTGCATTTCATCATGAAAATTAGTTTCAAGCAAGTTGGACTGAGACATAGAAAATAAACACACATGATCATGAATTGTGCCACTTAAATGTATTTATTGTCTTAGAACAATCTTTGTGCTGCTTGTGCGACAACGGCTGTGAAAGAAGCGACTACTATTATTTTATACTGGTACTAAGAATTTCAAGATCATGACACGATACAATTGACTGATCAGAAAGCTTCTAGTACGAAATCTAAGGCTGAAGATACTCGATGAAGTAAACACGTACAATCAGAAGCGAGAAGTCTACTCGGGACATGGCGACCTCAATCGATTTTACGATAGTAAAGCAGCTTTTTTCCTAAGGAAGGGTGGAGATGGTCGCGTGAACGTAGGGATGAAGGAAGAGACTATGTGGATCGCCGGAACCCGAAATGGATCTCTTCTGCCGCTAATTTTTGCCCACTGATGCACTTGCCCATGCTCGCTCTTCAACGTTCAACGCTCTTGTGCTATGTTGTAGGCGTTCGAGCACCTAGTCAAAAGTTCCATGCCAGATCGCCGGAGCTTGATCCGTCCGGTGCGTTTGCGCGTGTTGGTCTGCAACTTGGTGGGTTTGCTCTCTCTCACATAACAAGTTTCCCATCTTCGCTTTTGCGACAGATACGTAGGATTCCATGCTTAAAGTGGGTATGTTGCGATGTTGGGCTTGGTTCTGATTGCAGGGGTAGGCAGTAATGGCATGGGTACGCTGATGGCGAACGGGCAATAACGAGGACTGGAACGGCAGACGCGGCGCGGAACAGTGTTATGAGGGTCGGAAGAGTTTGGCAAGCCGTTTAAAGGTAGATGGCCCGTCATTGGCGGTTGTTAGAATGCAGTGGTCAATTCGGCCAGTAAGCGTGAAAGAAACTAGAAAAACGGCCGATCTTCCCCCCCCCCCTCCCCGAAGCGGTCAGATCTTCACAGGGTCTTGCATAGAAAAATACAAGATACGCCCGCTTAGATGAAACTTCTTCAGAGGAAATGCAAACAGGGGGGAATTTAACAGTGTCAGCAGTCCAAAACGCGCTCAGTTATCCTGTGGCACCTGAGGTCCAGCGACTCCTCCGGTCAGTGGTGGATTTGCTACAGACGCCATTCTGCCCAGAGCCCAGTCTTGCCCGTTGAGGTCAGCCTTTCTTCTAACAAGGAAGATTTCCATTCTCAACTCCAATCATCGTGTCTGCTCTTTACGCAAAGTGGCGAGAATAATAATTTTGACCTGTTACTCTGTTTTTATTTTCTTTGCCAGTTCCGAAAAGTGATAAGATTGATGCAAAAGTCGCAAATGGAAATTCAAGCCAAATATCAGGTAGAGCCGTTTGACTTTCTCTTCCGAAAGAGCAAATTTGAGTAGGTCAGGCCCTAAGGATGTGAAAGCCTTGCAGAAAGACCGAAGCGTTCAGCATGATTCAGACTGCAGGCTACGTTATCTGGGGGCAGCAATCGAATCCATTGGTTGTCGTGCGAGAAGATTCGGTATTCCTGGGG